CATCCCTCATCAATTATGGGATCCAGCTCATATCAAGTCCTCTCTTGACCGAGGGGATACAATATTGACATCCCGTTTGGATCCATGAAATGGCTTTAGACGCAGGCTTGCGAAGTAGCATTCTCTAGCTGTTTTCTGGTTGGCATGAATAGTAATGATTCAGCCTTTCTCAGATGGAAACTTCATAGTCAAGTGAGAAGTGGACACTATGGCTTTCATTTATTAAGGGATGGTCGGCTGAGTAGTATGTTGTATGAGGTATTCGCGTGTACCACTAGGTAGGTCACCATAATGTGTTTACCTTCGTGTTCTGACCCGAATGAGGTGTATAGGTAGATACACCTGCGTGTCTCTACTCGTTCCCCAGAAAAATTGACCAGTGGCTCGTGATTTTCTCTGAGTTCCTCTTCTGGTATCCCCAATTGCTTGAATGTATTTCAGTAGAGGATATCAACCGAACTCCCTTGGTCAATTAGTATTTTTTGGACGGTGTAATTAAGGATGTCCACACTTATAACCATGGGATCATCTGTACTGGATCTACTCCTTGAAATTCCTCGTTAGTGAATGTAATGTGTGAATCTGGATTCTACTATCGAGTGATATAATTGTTGACAGAGCAAACTTGTCTCAGATGCCTCTTTCTGGATGAATAGGTAGGTCCTCCACCTGTAAAACCTATCGGCTATGGTATTAATAACCCTTTTAGAATATTTCTCGCGTTCATCATATCATTTGACAGGGGGCTCTCTTGACCGACTCCGTTGTCGTTTAGGCTTCTTATCATCGTATCTTCTTGATGATTTGGGGTAACGGTCTCTACCCATCGGCATGACCGGTGGGTTTGCTAGCACAAATCCTTTCAGATGTCCTTCCTTAATCAGATCTTCGATTTTATCTTTCAGGGCCATGCACTTTTATGTGGTATGGCCCCTATTTTGATGGTATCAGCAAGATTTGGTTTTGTCCGCCTGAGGGGCTGTTGGCACGCCTAGGCATGCTCAATATTTTTGTTGCTACAGCTTGATCGAGTACCCTAGACCGATTAGTGTTAAGGGTTGTATATGAAGGATATTTGGGTCCTCTAGGCAACCTCTCAACATCATTCCTTCTATCTTTGTTCTCTTGCCGAGACTTGAAAGTGTCTCTCTTGTCAACATCTCTTGAGTTGGACCCCTGGTCCATCCGAACTTGACTTCAGTATTTGGCTAGCTCCTCCATTTACATATACTTGGCAGCCCAACTCCTTAATTCATCTATATCCATGAGTTATTTTTTACATATGTTGTTGATGAAAGGTCTAGGTTTGAGAGCTGTTGTAAGATGATGCATGGCCACGGTTGGTTCCAAATTATGGATTGAGAGGGTTACTTTGCCAAAGTGTTCCATGAACGCTTTAAGTGTCTCTTTTTTCTCTTGTCGAATGTTGACGAGTGCCAAAGATGTCAGAGGGTGGGGCTAACTTGTTGCAAACTAAAAAGTGAATCGTATGGTGAGGGTTGCAAACGAATCAATGGACAAAAGGGGTAGCCTGGTGAACCAACTGAGGGCCCGTCCTCGGAATGAAGTGGGGAATATCCTGCACTATAAGGCATCATTCTCCGTGTACAGACCGACCTGGGTTGTAAAGATATCTAAATGCTCCCCAGGGTCGGATGTGCCATCATACTTTTCTATTGTCAAACCTCTCCAGCTGTCAGGTAGCTTGGCCTCCAAGATATGATGAGCAAACGGGCTTCGGCTTACTACATCTTCTCGGTCAGTCTGGGTTCCAGGTTGCTGCGCCACCCTTGGTTTTTCATGTAACGCCGAGGACTCTCTTTGTTCTTGGGCAAGGGGTGTAGTTTGAGAGGGTATGTGCGTTCGTATTTCTTCCCTTAGGTTGGCATTTTCCGTTCTCAAATCCGAAAGTTCAAGAGCATCTTTCTGTCTCTCCTTCTTCATTTCCATCATTTCTGCTTTAAGTTGCCTCAATACTGCAAAGAGGCTTTCATCACCACCTCCCTCCATTAGAACTTCAGGGATCGGCTAATTAGGTGTGGTATCCTCCTGCTACCGAGAGGTTCTCCCTTGTTGAGTTTGTCCGTCTTGTTGGCTTCTTGTAAGTATCATGATTAGTCTAAAAACAAGGCAAATCAGGGCCACAGTGGGCGCCAAAATGTTCCTAGTGGGGAAACACTAGTGTTCGGGTCTCTGCTCAAATGAGGTGATGTCCTTCCGTATCTTGCTGATGTTGCTTGACGTGGGGAGGGTACCTGCAAAAAGCACTCTGATGCTGAAATCAAAATTCAGTTTTGAGCAATAAATGTTATTTAATATTCAAAAGTCAACTATTTACTTGTACCTTCTACTTTTCTTTTATAGGCAGTATTTTGGGCTAATGAGCTTGCTGAGTCAGCCTTGGTTTTGGCCCTTTAATTAGAGTAGATATAGTTTGATTATTACCCTTAATTGAGTTAATTACCTTTAATCCTGGTCGAGAGGGTATTCGACTTATCTTGATCGAGGGGGTACTCAATTCCCTTCTTTTGTAGGTAAGACAGAGTAGTGTCTAATCCGGTACAGATATTATCTACGGTGACTTGTAGTTTCTGAAAGGAGGCAAGTTATTGCATAGAAGTGGTTATGCAAGTTGGTTATATAGGAGTTGTTATTACATTTTTCTAATTATTATATTAGGATCGTTCAGGGAAACAAATAAAATTTATTTTTCTAGATTGAAGAAAGGATGCAAATAATGAAATAACATGAAAAATATGATAAAAATAAATATAATATGATTGAAAGAATACAAATTTATATTATATTTAACTCAATTTTAATCATCTCTTATTATTATTATTTAAAAAATTAATAAATAGAATTAAAAGAACTAAATTTTAAAAATAAAACTAAAGAGTAAAATATTTTATTTAAAATAGACTAACATAAATAAAATAAAATATGAGATAAAACTAATATAAATAAAAAAATAGAAACCTTTCTTTTTTTAAGACAAAAAATATTAGGAAAAAAATAAAAATAAAAGATTGGACTGAAACAAGAAAAAATTAGGCTGAAAAAGAAAAAATTAGACAAAAAATTATTAAAAAAGTACAATTGATGGAGTTGATTTAACTTGGAATAATGATGTGTTTTTCTTTTTCCCTTTTGATTTGTAATTGTTTCTTCTTCTTTTTTTTGTTTTTCTATCGTCGTATTGTACTCTCTCTTGTTCACCTTATAAATTTTTCAGTTTTTCCCTTTTTCCTTGTCTCTAGTTTTTCAAAGCTCTCTTTTTTCTCTTGAACAAAAAATTCTCATCTTAAATTTTGTTGTCGCTCTTACAAATTTTGTTACTCTCCTTCTCGAATCTCTCATTTCTCTATTTATATTTATCACATTTTCAAATTTAGAGTTTTATAAGAGGTTAAATTTGAGTTTTTTCCCCTTCTCTTGTACAAAACAAGCATTGATTTTTGGGTTTACATAGTGTTCATTTTCCATTTCTTGAAGTTAAACCTGAGTTTTTCTTGTTTA